AAAAAAGACAAAAGAGTTGACATCATACTCTTCCTGCAATATTAAAACCCTTCTGGCAAAAGTAACTGGAGAAATGACAAAGAAATTTCTCATATGAGGTACACACGCTATGTGGCTGGACCCAGCTTTATAACATACCTGCTGATCTCAAAGGAGAAGCATTCTGAATGCATTTGAAGGCAGTGACAATTGGAGATCTGGCCCCTACCCCTTCATCACTCTCTCTAGGCTACAAAATTCAGACAGAGCACAATGCCCTCATCTGGCCTGCCAGATCATCTTTGCAGTTCCCAACACATTCACTGAGAAACAAACCAAAACACTTACTAATACGGGAAAGAGATCTTTAATGTTGTACATTACTCAGAATCAGGAGAGGCAGTACAGGCTGACTGAATACAGCCAAGCTAAATTCCATCCCTATCACCCCATACAGTCCCCCAAGCCCCTCCAGGAGTGATCCCTGAGCACAGAGCCAGAAGTAAGCCCTGAGAATAGAAGAGTGTGAACACAAAACAAAACAAAACAATTTTTTAATTACACACACACACACACACACACACACACACACACACACACACCTAAACTAAATAAAACAAATATTACCTGGTATTTGACCACACAGTAGCAACTCTGAAAAGCAACTTTTATTTGGAGCCTGCTGCAGGATCATACAATACTTTCCTCCAGGGCTTCTCTGTCTCACCTGGTCTGGAGGTGACTAAAAGCTTTATGATTCCAATCCATGGACTCATAACACAAAACAACCCATAATAAGTCATTCAAGGAAGCCATTCATAACAGTTGTTTCTTTATAACAGCTTGAGTTAAAACGCAGCTCTTTACCACATATGAATCAGTGGGTTTTAGTATATTCACCAAGTTCTGCATTAGACACTCTTACCTAATTCAAACACTATTATCTAATTCCAGAACATATTCATACACTCAGGGCCAAAGAGAGAGCGCAAAGTGAGTAGGATGCTTGCCCTGCCTGTGCTCACTCGGGCCTGTCCACAATCCAGGGCACCAGATACAGGACTGATTCCCGAGCACAAAGTCAGGAGTAAGCCACGAGCACCACCAGGCGTGGCCCAAAAACAAAAAGAAAAGGAAAAGAGATAGCTCATATTCCAAAGAAGATGCGCTTGGCAGTGTCATGTAAGGGGGCTATGAAGTGCCAGGAATCAAGCTGGGCCTTCTGTGTGCAAAGCATGTGCTCCAGCCCACTGCATTACTGTCCTGGCCTCAGATTTCTTTCTAAGCATGTTAATCTCGACATGTTATTCACGGTTTTGAAGGAATGTTCCTATGTTTCATGATCTTGGGGTGTGTTCCAATTTAGGAATGCGGCACTAAGATGTGATGGGTAGCTCTGGTGTGGACAAGCTTCCCTAGAAGGAAGCATCTCTTCCATCAGGTATCTTCGAATCTCAGGACAGTCTGTTCTCAGACTTATTAGGCTTTTGTGATCAAAGTCTGAGACACGAGGGCGAGGAGGGATATCATTGTTCTCTCCCTCTCTCAGGGCTGTGACTCACTCGTTCCTTCCCAAATGGTCTCTCCTGATAGAGACCCGGCCCCGCCACATTCAGCTGCTTGGGGACAGCGGAGGAGGGTAGGGGAGACAGTGGTCTAGTATGAAACAGGGGACTGGGAGATCTGACCTTTCAAGTTACAGACTTCAAATCAGAGCCCCATTTTCAGCTCAGTGCCTTACTCCTACCTCCGAAAAAACCTGGTGCCTGTAGAAAATTGGTGAGGTGAATCAGTGTGCTTCCTGCAGGCACTGCCTCTTTAGGTAATTCCTGAAAAGTATTTTTAGCACCTGCGTCAGTTACTTTTTCCTCCATCAAGTCTCAATCAAATTTTAATTAAATCTCTAATCAGCAGCTCTGTCCTCACTCACTCTCCTTTTATTCTTATTTTTGGGCCATGTCTGTGCTGGAGGGTTTTCCCAGCTCTGTGCACAAAGGTCACTCCCAGGGGTGTTTTGGAGACTGAACCCAGGGCCTCCTGCAGGCAAAGCATGCATTCATTTCTTTGAGCAATAACTTGGCTCACTTCCTTATGTTTACAGTCTCAATCATTACTATTTTTTTGTTTTGTTTGGGGGCCACAGTCGACAGAGCTCAGGACTTACTTCTGGCTCTACACCAGGGATCACTCCTGGCGGGCTCAAGGGACCATATGGATTGAACCCAGGTCTGCCCTGAGCAAGGCAAGTGTCCTACCCGCTATACTATCACTCTGACCCCCACAATCTTTACTGCTTCTTTAATATCAAAAGAGAAATGTGCATGCACATGGAAAGTATTATTTTAACAGAAAGTAAATTTCAACTTATAATAAATTGGGAAGATGATAATCAAGTACATTTTAGAACTAAAAAACTAAATCTCAAGGGACTAGAGAAGTAGTACAACAGGAAGGGCTTCCTTGCATGCAGCTGACTTGAGATCAATCCCTGTGGTCCCCCAAACCTCACCAGGAGTGATCCCTGAGCACAGTCAAGAGTAATCCCTGGGCATTATCAGGTATGGCCCCTAAACACAGGACAAAAAAAAGAAAGAAACAAAAATGTAAATAAGAGATAAATAGGCATATGGACAGCCAGTAAGCACAGGAAAAAGTGTTTCTTCATCACTTAGGAAAATGCAAATCAAAACAATGAGATATTATCCAACACTAGTGAGAATGGCACACAGCAAAAAGACTGAAACCAACCAGTACTGGTGAGGATGTGTGAAAAAGGAACCCTCATTAACTGTTGGTGAGAATGTTGTCTGATTCAGCGTCTACAGAAAATAGGAAAGAGATTTCTCAAAAGAACAGAACTTTCATAAGACCCAGAAATGCACTTCTTGGGCTCTGCCCCCAAAACACAAAAACATGATCTGACCTTGAAAAGATGGATGCACACCTATATTCGTGGCAGTGTTTTGTATAATGGCCAGCATTTGAAACATGTCTGATGATAGGCATAATAAATAATGTGGTAAACATACACAATGAATACTACACAGCCCCAAGAAAAGATGGGCTCTTGTAGCTCATTAAAACAGAAATGAGAGGAATCATGAAAATGCAATCAAAGAAAGAACAAATGCTGGCTGATCTCACTCACCTGTGGTACCCAGAAAAACAAATCAAGAGAACAGACAATATCAATGGAAACAAACCACTGGCCTGGATTACCAAGCAAGGGGGCCAGGGGAAGGAATGAAAAGGTGAACCTGATGTGACCCAGGCACATAGGTGGAGGGTCTTGGGCTTTGGAGGTAGTGAGGTGTGGGATGTATGCACATCAAAATTAGACATTTTAGGGCCTGAGCAGCGGGGAGGGGGACTGCCCTGCACACAGTTGACAATGGTCCCATCCCCAGCATCCCATACCATCCCCTAAGCACTGCCAGGAGTATATTCTTTTATGTATTTACTTGTTTTCTTTTTGGGTCCCACCCAAAGATGCTCAGGGGTCACTTCTGGCTCTGCACTCTGGAATTAACTCTTGGTGATGGTCGGGGGACCATATGGGATGCCGGGGATCGAACCTGGGTTGGCCATGTGCAAGGCTAACACCCTGACTGCTGTGCTTGTTCTGGCCCCAGGAATATATTCTTGAGCACAGAGCCAGAAGTGATCCCTGAGTATCACTAGGTATGGCCCCCAAATCAAACCAAACAAAAATATGTATATACAAACACATACACATATTTTAATGCTACTATAAATAAGTAACCTAAACTATAATTGAATAAACCAAAATTATAAAAGTACATAAATATAATTAATTTTATGTCTATGCAGTACAAGAAGCACAAGAACACAATAAACTTATATTTTAAAAAATTCGAGCATTGAAGATTCATTTCTGATGGACTAGCCATCCATAAAATTCTTTAGCATCATAAACTTTTCTTTCCCATCTGAAACTCTTAGGGAACTAGGCTGATAGCTCCTCTGTACAATTTCCACCACAGGCCTTCCCTGGCCTCTCCTGGCACATTTAAACTGCTGCTAGGTAATATTTCTTTTGGCAACGAACTACATATTTTATAACAGCAGACCTTCAACTGAACTCTCTCCATTCAAACTCACATTCTTCCCAAACATGTGAATCTTAGACTAAGTCGCCTATTTTTTTTTCTTTTACTCTTTCTGTTTTTCTCTTTGAGCCACACTGTTGCAGCACTCAGGGGCTATGCCCCATTGCACATGGGGGTCAGTCCTAGTGGTGCTCAAGAGACCATGCAGTGCTGGGGACCATTGGTTCTCATGCCTGCCAAGTACATACTCCAGCCTGCTAAGCTTTCCAGGCAAAGACTGTCCTCTAGAACACGATGAACACATTTTATGGTACAAAAAATATTAACTATTCATTAAAATTTCCAATAACAAATTTAATCAAGGTGCCTGAGAGACAGCACAGGAGTTAAGGGGCTTGATTTGCATAAGACCAACCCCAGTTCAACCCCTACCTGTGGTCCTTGAGAACTGCCAGGTGTGGCCCATGACCCACATCCCCACCAAATAATTCAAGATACATTCTCTGTTAAACAGAAACATATTTTTTTTAAAAAAATTGTAACTAAACATGACATGGAAAAATGATGTAATTTTTCTTTCTATTGCCCAAGAATTATAGGCAGATACCAATTCTGCAGGTGTTAGGGAATAAAAATGAGTATAGCCTAGAAAAAAAATCATTGCAGTACTATAAATGATACTTCAAAAGTTCAAGAATTGCATTTCCAATTCATCAATTATACCTTTTTATTCAATATCAGCAATAATAACCCATTTGAGCAATAGGTAAAATATGCCTCATTTTTACAGAGCCAAAATGAACTTTACAGAACCAAAGCAACTATATATTTAAGTCAAATTCTCCCCTTTTAAAATCTTAATGCAAACACTCAGTATACTTCAGTTTAACTCAAGTCTCCATCTGGCCCTAGGCTCAAATTATACCAAGTTTTAACAGATAGAGAACCTACCTGCTGGTTTATAATCCAGTGGAGAGGATACAACTGCAAAGTATATATTATGCTAGCATGGCACAGTTTCAAAAAGGACAGGATTGGAAAGTTTATTCATTATCAGAAGCAGGATCCTGAACATATCATTTGTCTTCCCAGAAAAACAGCAGACTGAAACTGAAACAAAAACAAATGGAGAATCTAAATAGTCCTATATCTGTTAATGAAACAAATCTATAATTAAACAGCTTCCCAAATGAAACCACCACATAGCTTCATTGGAGAATGTGTCTACCCATTTATGGAAAGAAAAAAAAAGCCACCAACATTATGCAAACTTTTCTAAAAATGAAGAGGTAAAGTTTCTCGATCCATTTTATAAAACCCAGATAGCCTTGATGTCAGCCCAAAAGATATATGAATATAAACAGAGATGTATAAATCCTAAAGAAAAAAAGAAAAGTTAGAAAACTGAATACAGCAATACACGAAAAAAAAGATAAAAGTACCATGACTAAGCAAGAAATACAAGAATCGATTTAATATTAGAAAGAAAATCAATGAAACTCAATACATATTTAAAAAAAAAACAGGATTCCTTCAATAAACAAGGAAAAAGCATCTGATAAAATTAAACACCCATCCTCTAAAATATCATGGACTTCTACCACTGGCCAATAAGAATTCATAGGGACTAGATTTTATCCCTCTACATCAACCAATCAAAAGAAATAAATGCCACTGGGGGCATGGAGTTAGGAGTCGCCTGCCTCCCAACCACCCCTCACGCCCCACCCCCAACACACTGCTGGATGTGGACCTTTGGGGGAAAAAGAAAAGCAGGTGAAGGAGACCACATGACTGTAAGGTAGAGAGGGCTCTCAAGATATGAACGTCAAACAACGGGGCAACTGGCCCTCCTGGCTGCGGGGTGACCCAGTCTGAAAGGAAGGCAATGGGAAGGCAGGGGGACCAAGGCAGCGGCATCCAGAAAAGAACACGGCAGAGGAGAAAGCGGCAGAGAGGGGACAGCGTGCTGCGCTCCCTGGCCAGGTGCTGAGTATTCCACTGACGACAAGCAACACACGCATGGGAGAAAATACTGAAGACACACGACAAAGATGCACGAAGAGGGGGGAGCGAGCCAAGACCCCCGAGCCCAGTCAGACGGGAAAGCCCTGAGATGAGCAGGCGGCTGAGGAGCAGGGAGGCAGGAGAAGGCCAACCCAGAATCCACAGAGGGCAGCGCCCGCCTCAGGCGTGAGTCTGGAAGCCTGGACAGGAACCTCGGCACACACCCCCGGGTGCAACCCCAGACACCTCCACAAAGACAACAACGGAGAAGAGAAAGGCAAAAGGTAGAAACAAATAAAAATAAACAGAACACTAAAATAAGACCCCAACCTCTTAACAATGAGCAACCTGTCCTGAGAAGGCATCAGCAGGTCAGTACTCCAAGCTCTGTAAACTAAACTCTGCTGCCGGCTAGTGCTGCACGCATTATCAAGTGACAGAGGGTGTGCAAATAAACACACACACACACACACACACACACACACACACACACACACACCAGAAGCCAGAGGAATGCAGATTCTCACCACCCTGCACCCCTACAGCGCCAGGCACACAGAAACCTGAAATAGATACTCAGGCCTTGACTTCCAACAGCATCCTGGAGCAATGTCTGTCTGGGTGTCCAAGGCAGGCAGTCCAATGAAGGACTGAAGAGACAGGAACCTCCATCTCTCCCGCAGAGAAGAGAGAGAAGGACCCAAGAGACAGGTGCCTGCCTCGCATGCAGCAGACCCGGGCTGGAGCCCTGGCCTCCCAAATGGTCCCCGAGCACTGCCAGGAATGATTCCTGAGCACAGAGCCAGGAGTAAACCCTGAGCACTGTCGGGTGTGGCCCCAAAAGAAAACAGAAGTAATAATTTTTAAATATAGCTGAACTTTGCCTTCAAGAAAGTGGAGCAGAAACAATTTGCATTGCTCTGTGGATGTGCATGGTGACTCCACAGTGCCAAGCAGCAATTCACAGTGACCTTCCTGTGAGGTACCCTAAGAAGACCAGCCCCACCAGGAGCTGCTCTCACTCAGAGACAAGTAACAACTTGATAAATGCTCCTCAAAACTGTGGAGGCTTCTGAAAAATAACAAAGTTCTGAGACGCTGTGGAGATGCAGAAATAAAGGGCCACAGTCACCAGCCACAGCCACCGCCATACCCACTCACCCTTTAGCCCCGCTCCACCAATTCCCGACTGACTCTCCAAGGACACGCAGGTCACCCCGGCCCCCGGGGCTGCCAACTCTGGGCCGCCCTCAGGAGAGCAGCCTCAGCACACCCCACAGCTGCGGACAGGCTTCACTCATGGCCCAAGCCACTGAACCTGAAGCCTCAGGTCTACCCCAACTCCCAGCTCCTCAGTACTGAACCTGCAGTAGGAGCACACCGGACCCAACGGGAAGGAGCAGGGAAGGAAAAGGGAAGCCAACTAAACCCAGCAAACAGAAACAGCAACACAGAAGCCTCACTAGCCACAAGCGGGTTAGTAAATCCTTAGACAAGGACTTAACAACCTCCTGAGGAGATAGAAAATTTTCACATTAAAAGAAAAAATTTTTTGAAGCTTATTGATCTTAATATTGGGGCTTTATTATCTGATCAAGTTCAATTATAGAACTGTATCAATAGTTGTGGCCTTTATCTACATTAGAATAAAAAATTTTTTAAAAATTGACTCGGCAATGCACGGTACTCTGCGTAGAACAGAAAAAGGACATTAGATTAAAACTTAAGACTGAGGGGTGTGGGGCCAGGAAGACAGCAAGAAGACAAAAAGGAAGATCCTTTGCAGAGACGAGCCCCAGGTTCGATTCCTAGTATTACACATCCTCCAAGTACCTTAGAGAGTGACCCTAACCACTGCAGGAGGGGCGAAAAGGTAAAAGAAAATGGAAAAAGGTACAAGGGAGTCCCTTCCCCATTTGGCACTGTGGATGGGTGCTTGGCAGCTGAGACCAAACCAAACAATGTAGAATGAAAAAGGTCCCTTAAAATGAGGTTTCTTGGACTGGAGAGATAACACAGCAGGTAGAGCCCTTGCCCTGCACATACTGGCCCCAGTTCGATCCCCAGCATCCTGTATGGTCCACAAACACCAACAGAAAGAATTCCTCAGTGCAGCACAAGGAATAAACCCTGAGCAATGCTGGGCGCGGCCCCAAAACAAGACAAAAAAAGAGGTTTCCTTCAACATCAGCCAGGATTTTTTTAATTTTATAATGCAACAACATTTTACAAAATAGCATTGTTCAGACCTGCTGAATGGACTTTAGCTAAATAGTTCTCAACATATTATGTATTAGGACTGGGAAGTCATAAAATGTTTCATATATGTATGTGTTAACTTGTAAAGAAAACAAATTATGCCATTAATTCAGTTACCACAGTATTGAGTGCTATATTTGCTATATTTGAATGGCTCAAATTTGCATGCTTTTAGAGAGCCCCAGATTCAATCCCCAGCACCACATTGCTCACCTAAGCCTCATGGAAGTGAGCACCAAGCAATGAGACAAAACACCCTCTAGCACAGCTGCATATGTCCCCAAGACCCAAGAATCAACCAATACATGAGATCAAACACTTATGTCAGCCCAGAAGTGGCTCAGCAATAGGGTCCTTTGCCTTACATCTGTGAGGCTCTTTTAATTCAGGTGTGGCCCAAACCACAACCCGCCAAGGAAAAAAAAAATAGAACCAAAATGTGGGGCCAGGTAGATGGCTCAGAGGGCTGAGCACATGCTTTGCATTTGAGAGGCCTGGGTTCCACAGCACACTGCATGGTCGGTCCCCTGGGCATCACCAAATACAGTCCCAAAACAGCAAGCTGGGGTAAAAAAAAGGAAAATCCAGAAAGTATAAAGAAACATGTGAAACTTCTATTCCCTAGGGGTGACCATGATTCATTGCTATAGCTCATACCATGAGGGCACCCCAACAAATTTGCAAGTATGCATGGGATATGGGATATATTTAACTTTCAGGGAAAACCAGCACAAATTGCAAGTCCTAGGTCATTCTATTTACACCTGAAATCACTCCACGTTCCTTTCAATAATGGCATCACTTCGTGAAGTTGGCCTTTCAAGCAGCTGCAAAGACGATATGAAACCATGTGAAAATGGTGGGATGGGTAGAAATGGAGGTGATAGCACTCAATACTATGGTAACTGAATTAATGACATAATTTGTTTTCTTTACAAAATAATACTATTATACAACTGCCACAATGGCTAAAATGTTTAAATGCCAAGGGCTGGACTGGAGCAACAGTACAGCGGGTAAGACACATGCCATATTATATGAAGCTGAGGAGGTCCAATTCCCAGCACCACAGCCTGAGCCCACTGTAGGATAACATAGCTTCAGGTAGTTTAGGTTTATTGGGTTGTTCCCATCACAGTGCTCCCTTTCCTCTGTGTTTATTTGTAACTTCTTTCTTTGTGCTGTTGACTTGTAAATACTGTTTTTCTCTTCTCCATAAGGCCTTTGTATAGTATATTCAGAGCAATGTCCTTTTTGTATGGGCACAGGAAGATGCTACGCTTTTGTTATGTGGGAATCATTTGACTCTAAATGGTATTTTACCCCTGGGCATCTCAACCTAAGCCTCAGCTGCCCTTCCCAGCACCCCCAAAAGCAGGATCCTGACGAGGGACTGGGTGGACCCAGGGCAAGTGGTGAGCTATGTCCTACCCTGGCATCGAGATGGGCCTGGCCAAAGTGCCTAATGCTTAACTATAAGTAAGAACTTGGTCATGGACAGATGCTGTCATGATCCAAAAAGTAGTAACTAGATTTGGACCCTGCTAGGGTTAGGAATGATTAACCTGACCTGAGTGCTGTAGTCTGAGTCTGTGGCAAGATGTTACCAGGAGAGCTGCCCTATGTATCTTTGCTTCAATGTATCTTTTACTAAATCCATTCAAAAGTAACTAGAGAAAAACACCTTTAGAGCTATTTTGGGCTGCAGGCCATCAGGAAGGGCTTCCTTATGTTGTTTATGCTTCCAGACCAGGTGGGGAGCATGGGCCCGGAGGGCCAGGTGGAGAGATATAAGTAGGGGTAGAGAGAGAAGCAGGGGGGGTCAGAGTCCAGAGGAGTCAGAA